ACCGCACCGCAGCTGCCTGCACTGTACAATCGCTGGAGGACTGGGCTGTCACTCAAAAACTGAGTAGCCAATGGGAACGCACCCCTGAAAGTCCCGCCCACCTGGGATGTTTGTCAGAATTGAAAACAAAAAATGAGGGAGCGCAAACGAGAGTGCTGCAGCGAGAGCAAAAGTCTGTTCATTGAGAAAGAAGCAAAGAGAACTGCAAACAAAAAGATGTGTTAAAAAAAAAAAAAATACTTATAGTTTACATGATTACACATGATTTGTTTGCAACTTATAGTTTTATTTTGGAAATAAAATGTATTCTGCTTGACTCAGTTTTTTTTTCTCTTAAACTCTTAGTTTTGCTTGATTCTGAGAAAGTGTTGCTTTATCTTTATGAAACAAAACTAATCCCATACTTATCAGGCACCCGCAGCTCACAGCCAAAGTGCGAGCTTGGGAGCGAGCGAGGGAGAGAGAGAGAGGGCGCACCGGTACCTGCACTGTTGTTATTAGAATCCGGTGCAAGCTGCGCTAACGGATATGAGAAGTAGATGTTTCTACAACCAGGGTGGAGGAGAGCTCTCCTGTCAGACTGAGAGGCTCAGTGAGGTAAAGGACTCTTGAGTGTTTAGATAGTTAATTTTAGTCTAAGTTATCTCAGTGGGTCTCAAACAAATATGTGTTTACAAATTATGTAAACACATATTTTCCACACTAAAATATTCCACGCGCTCCGCGCTCACATTATGCTGGGCCCACGTGCCTTAGCACCGCTGCTATGACTCCATCCTAGGGGAAGCACTGCCATGTGTAAGATACCATAGACAATTTGATCTGAAAGATCCACATCATCATAAAAAGACACATATACGTAAGATATAAATTCAACTTCATCATATTTATTCAAAAAGTTATCCTTTTCATATAAAAACAGTAACATAGTAAGAACATAATATAAAACATCATAATATAAATGTTACGGTATATAGGTCAAAGCAACAAACAAAAACAACAACAACCAGGAACCACCTTAGTACAAGTACACACAAGACCGTTTGAGTGTAGCAGCTGGTATGTTAACAAACATTGCGGCGCATGAGGGCAAAGATTCGGAGCCTATAGGACCGAGACAAGACCGAGACCGTTAAAAAGTGGTCATGAGTACTACAACACTAGTTACAAGTTACTAAATCAGAATTAGAATACCTTTATTAGTCCCACAGAGAGGACATTTATAAAGTACTAAGAGCTGATACAAAGAGACTGTTTAAGCTGTTTAAAGTGGACTCTATATCATATATTGGTTATGTTGTTAGAGAAAAACAAGTTGGACGTAAAGGGTGGAGTTTTCGTCTGAGTAGAGCTGAAGTTTTGTGTTAATCCTGCTTGTTGAAAGTGTAAATATAATCAGATGTACTCACCAGTGTTTGACAGAGACTCTGCTGTGTTGTTGAGAAAGATCTGATGAACTCAGTTTGTATTTTCTTTAGACAGAAACTGACACTAGTCTCGACTGCAGTGTGGCTGCCTCTCTGACTAACATAACTTTCGTTTCCTGTGGCGTGCCGCGTGTAAGCTCTCCTCTTTCCACTGTTGCTCCTCCTCTCACTGCAGCTGGTGTTTCCCTGACCAGACCGGGGTGCACATAACTGGTACGCAGGTACGCATGCGCGGCAACAATCTGAAATGCGTACCGTCACTTGTGTCCTTCTTATTATACATCCATGCTTGTGTCACAAAGCGCATTTGCGTACCGACGTACTTGTGAAGCTTTTCCAGAAGGCGGTTAGATCACCGGACGACAGAGTCGGTCTCCGTGTGCACAGACAGGGCTGCTGTTAACGTCGGTCTGTACAGCAGCCCTGCGCTAAAACAGCTGATCACGGCCACGAAGCTCTGCACTCCACTACCACCCTTGCTCCATTCATTGGTACTAGTCCTACAACTATACCCTGAAAAATGCTTGAGGGTGGGAATAATACAAACATCTTTTGGGGGGGGGGGGTGCATTTTATGATTTTACGACAGGCCTGGTTTATCATCCGAGTCAGAAATAAAACAAATATGGAGTGAGGGCTAGTCCTGCAATTGTCCAACACATTTACATACACACAGTAATTAATAATACATGTTGAATGAAAATAAAGAAATAAAGTGACATATTATCCATACTAAAATTGTGTACATTATCACACATAAAATAAACATTCACTCCAAAATAATGACTATCATCCAATATTGTTTTAACTCCATCATAACCTTTCAATTACAACAGGATTGTTTGGTCATTATTTTTGGAGTGTTTTGGAGATGGAGATAAATCATGGGTCAAAATTGACCCGCGAACACCATGAACGGTAACAGCTTTCGAACACAACACAAGGGTTAAAGATGAATATGACATGTTGTTCACACTGACTTTGATTGCTTACCATGTCACTGGACTCTAATCTTCTAAATGAATGTTTATTTTATGTGTGATAATGTACACAATTTTAGTATGGACCCGTGTCGGTCAGTATCTCTCTGAAGTCTCAGCCTCAGAAGGTGGGGGTGTTTGTGGATTATGAGGAGGGTCTGGTCTCCTTTTTTGATGTAGATGCTGCAGCTCTGATCTACTCCTTTACTGGCTGCTACTTCAACGGGAAAATCTTCCCCTACTTCAGTCCTGGTCTTAAATATGGCTGTAGAAACTCTGCACCTCTGATCATCACTCCTGTCTGAGTCACCTAATCACTCATCTTATTTCATGTATTGATATATTTTCATTCAAGGGAACGAACATCGATATTTAGAGTCAAAACTGTATAGTTTTGATCTTATTTTCCACAAAATAAGTTTAATGTGGTGATTGATTAACATATGGTTTAGATTCTGTATACAACACATAAGTGGATTCATTCATCTACTCAACAATCAAATAATTATCTCTTCAACAATTAATCGTAACACATGTGGAGAATATCTATATGAACATTGGATAAAGCTACAAATATGTATTGTAACTTCATTAAAAACCGTTGTTCTAATGACACTACATTTGTCAAGCTATAGTTAGAGTTGATAATAACATTAAATGTGTTATATTTAATTGTTGTAAAGCTTAATTAAAGAGAAAGGCCTAGTACATGCCTCTACTGTGTACTAAATAAAATATGTGTAATAGTTATACTGCTAGAAAAAGTAAAATGAAGCTAAATAATATGATAAATCCTCATTTGTGTTAAAAATGGTTTGGTTAATAACTGTTAACTTGTATATTTACATGCCAGGTTTTATATTGATTACTGGTAAAAAGGCTTATGAATCAAAGACATCTGTAAATATGTGATTTTGAGTTAAGAAAACAAATAAATAAACTAGATGTTTGGTCTGAGAAAGCAGGGACTCGAGCACTAAACACTGAACAGGAAGGCCTGGTTTACACATAATTTGTATTTCATGACACATTTCCTGAGGCTAATTCACATTAAATAAAATATAAGTTGATTTATTTTTGTGTGAAGAGCTTGTAGGAAGAAATGTTTGTTTCCACTATCAGTGATTGGATATTGTACGGCTGTAGAGCAGAAAACAGTGGGGCTGATATCAGTGAGATAGCATTCACTTTTATGAGTGAAGGCAGTCACTATAACACAAAAACTACTCTTTACAATGAAGTAACTACTACAGAGTTTAGCATTATACAAGTATTTATGCCAACAACTAATACAAGGAAAAATTAGGTTTGATTTAATGATATTTTGTAAGGATATTACAGTTTGACCTATCATTTTCTTCCTGTAGTTTTGCCATATTTTTATAAAACTAGTTTCCCCCTTTGTGATATAAAAAGCTAAATCAACATGATGTCCTACATTTGTTTGCATTGTGTCAACACTTATGTGTGTTTGTTGTGTGTGTGGTAGAAACAACTGGGTGAAATGTGATGAGGGTCACATGACTAACAGGGGTTGGTAAAAAGCCAGAATACACCTCTTCCCAGGTTCTCAGTTTTAACTCATCATGCATACACGAAACCCTCCTTTTCTTATACTTTGAAAAAATGCCTTTTCAAATTATTTCCCTCCCAGCACATTTTTATAATCACTGAACTCAACAAGAACTCAATGTGAAACGGATTAAATATGTTGTCTTTCATCCAAGATAACAATCTTGATAGGCACAATTTTAAATAAAAAAATTAATATACGAATTTCAAGGTCACTGGTCTTTGTTGTTTGTGTGAGTAATGTGTTCATTGTTATTTATATGACAGGAAACAAGTCTTAAAAACACAATAGGAAAACTTGATGGGTTTCCGTATGCCAAGGATCAAAACCAATCTATGAATCAGGCAAGATTTAAAAAAACATGGCAGATAGCCTTTTATTTTATTTTTTATTTCAGTGGTTAAAAACTCAGTATATGTATATGTTAAGGTAAACAGGATTACATTTTATTTGTTGTTCAAAGTTATGCATGAAAAATCTCCTCACATTTTTACAAGTCCTTTCAAGTCAGATTTAAAAATAGTATTGCAAAAATAGTACTGTGGTATTTACTGCAAGTTTAACAGGATAATACCATATGGACCTCAGCACTGCGTTCATTGTGTTTTTGTTGTTGTACTACACTACAGTAACACACTACCACCACTTCCTGGTGTTCTGGCGCAGAGTGTCCACTGGATGGAGCACAACACAAAGGAGAGATAAGCATGGAGTCACTGTACTGTAAACCAAACACTGATATATGAGGAGACACAGTTTGTGATAAACATGTACAGGATAACCTCTCGTGTTGACCAAGGACAAATGGTTTTTTTCAAGAGATTTTAGTTGAAACAGCTTTTGACACACCTTACTCCTCCCATCTGTAAAGCACCAGCTTTGCTCCCTAACTATCAGAGAAAACCTGGTATTTCTCAATACCCATGCAGATCAGAGGGAGGGAACAAACCAGCAGACAGTGAGAGGAGGAGCTACAGTGGAAAGAGGAGAGCTTACACGCGGAACGCCACAGGAAACGAAAGTTACGTTAGTCAGAGAGGCAGCCACACTGCAGTCGAGACTAGTCTCTGTTTCTGTCTAAAGAAAATACAAACTGAGTTCATCAGATCTTTCTCAACAACACAGCAGAGTCTCTGTCAAACACTGGTGAGTACAGCTGATTATATTTACACTTTCAACAAGCAGGATTAACACAAAACCTCAGCTCTACTCAGACGAAAACTCCACCCTTTAAGTTCCAACTTGTTTTTCTCCAACAACATAACAATATATATGATATAGAGTCCACTTTAAACAGCTTAAACAGTCTCTTTGTATCAGCTCTCAGTAACTTGTAACTGAATCTCTGTGGTGAGGCGTTTGTATTCACTTCTGCTTTCCTGCTATTATTATTTGCTGATCACTTCCTACATAATGCTTTTACCCATTTCCTCTAGCTGTTTAAATATAAAATATTTCCATTAGAGAAACAGTTGGAGTCTTTTAATGTGAAGCAGCTAGAGGAAATTAATGGTTATGGTCAAACAGTTAGAAGAGCAGTGTTATTTTTCAATAAAAAAATAGTCGACAAAAACTATATTTTCTTTGCTGGTCTGCCAGAGTTGCATGCTTGACTCTGTCAGAGTTAAATGGTCACGGTTGCTCATGCTTCTTTCTTTAACACTATATATGATATGAATTGATGATTGATGTTTCAAATGTTTTTTATTTTCTTTCACATTATGTGTGTAGATATGGCTGCTGCAAGCTACCTGCCATCTGAAGATCAGTTTCTCTGCTCCATCTGTCTGGATTTGTTCACTGATCCAGTCACCACGTCATGTGGACACAACTTCTGTAAAACCTGCATCACTGAACACTGGGATACAAGTGACAGGTGCCAGTGTCCCATGTGTAAAGAGGCTTTTACCACAAGACCAGATTTGAGGGTCAACACTTTCATCTCTGAGATGGTAGCTCAGTTCAGACAGTCGGCTCAACAGAAAGCCAGCAGCAGCAGCTCAGAGCAACAAGTCTTCAAACCAGGAGAAGTTCCCTGTGACGTCTGCACTGAAACCAAACTGAAGGCCCTGAAGTCCTGCCTGGTGTGTCTGACCTCCTACTGTGAGACTCACCTGGAGCCTCACCTGACAGCTTCAAGCCTGAAAAGACATCAGCTGATCGACCCTGTGGAGAACCTGGAAGACAGGATGTGTCCGAAGCACGATAAACCTCTGGAGCTGTTCTGTAAGACCGACCAGACATGTGTCTGCATGCTCTGCACTGTTTTAGACCACAAGATGCATGATGTGGTTCCTCTGAAAGAAGGATATGAAGGGCAGAAAGCAGCGCTGGGAAAGAAAGAGGATAGAATTCAGGAAATGATCCAGAAGAAACAACTGAAGATTGAGGAGATCAAACACTCAGTGGACCTCAGTGAGAAAGAAGCAGACAGAGAGAAAGCAGAAGGAGTTCAGGTCTTCACTGCTCTGAAGGAGTCTGTTGAGAGAAACCTGAATGAGTTCATCCAAACAATAGAAGGGAAGCAGAACATGAGAATGAAACGGGCTGAAGACTTCATCAAAGAGCTGGAACAGGAAATCTCTCAGCTGAAGAAGAGAAGCTCTGAGGCGGAGTATCTCTCACGGTCTGAAGACCACCTCCATTTTCTCCAGGGTTTCCAGTCCCTAAACATCCAACACCCATCACCCACCAAGGACTGGACAAAGGTCAGCATCCCTCCATCATCATATGAAGGGACTGTGGTGAGAGCTGTGGTTCAGCTGGAGGAGACTTTCAGTAAAGAGATGAAGAAGCTGCTTGAAGCTGATGTGAGGAGGGTCCAGAAGTACGCAGTGGATGTGACTCTTGATCCTGATACAGCACATCCTAAACTCATCCTGTCTGATGATGGAAAACAAGTCAGCGATGGTGATGTGATAAAGATTCTCCCAGATAACCCAGAGAGGATTTCTAAATGTACTTGTGTTTTAGGAAAGCAAAGTTTCTCTTCAGGCAGATTTTACTTTGAGGTTCAAGTTAAAAGAAAGACTGACTGGGATTTAGGAGTGGCCAGAGAGTCGATCAACAGGAAAGAAGTGATCACACTGAGCCCTCAGGGGGGTTTCTGGACTATATGTCTGAGAAATGGAAATGAGTACAAAGCTGATGATGCTCCTCTAGTTCTTCTCTCTCTGAAGTCTCGGCCTCAGAAGGTGGGGGTGTTTGTGGATTATGAGGAGGGTCTGGTCTCCTTTTATGACGTAGATGCTGCAGCTCTGATCTACTCCTTTACTGGCTGCTCCTTCACTGAGAAACTCTACCCATACTTCTATCCTGGTGCTAAATGTGGCCGTAAAAACTCTGCACCTCTGATCATCTCTCCTGTCACCTAATCACTCATCTTATTTCATGTGTTGATTTGTTTTCATTCAAGGAAACAAACATCGATATTTAGTCAAAACTTTAGAATTTCCATCTTATTTTCTACAAGATAAGTATACTGTGGTGACTGATTTACATATGGTTTAGATTCTGTATACAACACATAAGTGGATTCATTAATCTACTCAACAATCAAATCATGATCTCTTCAACACTTTATCGTAACACATGTGGAGAATATCTATGAACGTTTGATAAAGCTACAAGATTTATTTAAAAAAAAGTTGTTTCTAATGACACAAAATTTGTCAAGCTAGTGAGAGTTGATAATAACATTAAATGTATTATAATCAATTGTTGTAAAGCTTCATTAAAGAGAAAGGCCTATTACGTGCCTCTACTGTGTACTAAATAAAATGTGTGTAATAGTTAAACTGCTAGAAAAACTCAAATGAAGCTAAATAATATGATAAATCCTCATTTGTGTTAACATTTGTTTGGTTAATAACTGTTAACTTGTATATTTACATGCCAGGTTTTATATTGATTACTGGTAAAATGGCTTATGAATCAAAGACATCTGTAAATATGTGATTGTGAGTTAAGAAAACAGTAAAATAAACTAGATGTTTGGTCTGAGAAAGCAGGGACTCGAGCTCTAAACACTGAACAGGAAGGCCTGGTTTACACATCATTTGTATTTCATGACACATTTCCTGTGGCTAATTCACAATTAAAAAAATAATAAGTTGATGGCTTTTTGTGTGAAGAGTTTGTAGGAAGAAATGTTTGTTTCCACTAGCAGTGATTGGATATTGTCTGTAGAGCAGAAAACAGTGGGGCTGATATCAGTGAGGTAGCATTCACTTTTACGAGTGAAGGCAGTCACTATAACACAAAAACTACTCTTTACAATGACGTAACTACTACAGAGTTTAGTATTATACAAGTATTTATGCCAACAACTAATATAAGGACAAATTAGGTTTGATTTAATTATATTTTGTAAGGATATTACAGTTAGACCTACCATTTGCTTCCTGTAGTTTTGCCATATTTGTATAAAACTAGTTTCCCCCTTTGTGATATAAAAAGCTGAATCAACATGATGTCCTACATTTGTTTGCATTGTGTCAACACTTATGTGTGTTTGTTGTGTGTGTGGTAGAAACAACTGGGTGAAATGTGATGAGGGTCACATGACTAACAGGGGTTGGCAAAAAGCCAGAATACACCTCTTCCCAGGTTCTCAGTTTTAACTCATGCATACACGAAACCCTCCTTTTCTTATACTTTGAAAAAATGCCTTATCAAATAATTTCCCTCCCAGCACATTGTTATAATCACTGAACTAAACAAGAACTCAATGTGAAATGGATTAAATATGTTGTCTTTCATCCAAGATAACAATCTTGATAAGCACAATTTTAAATAAAAAAATTAATATACTAATTTCAAGGTCACTGGTCTTTGTTGTTTGTGTGAGTAATGTGTTCAGTGTTATTTCAGATGACAGGAAACAAGTCTTAAAAACACAATAGGAAACTTGATGGGTTTCCGTATGTCAAGGATCAAAACCAATCTATGAATCAGGCAAGATTTAAAGAAACATGGCAAATAGCCTTTTATTTTATTTTTTATTTCAGTGGTTCAAAACTGAGTATATGTATATGTTAAGGTCAGCAGGATTACATTTTATCTCATTTTAGATTCTAAAAAAACAATAACTGCTGTTTTATTTGTTGTTCAAAGTTATGCATGAAATATCTCCTCACATCTTTATAAGTCCTTTCAAGTCAGATTTAAAAATAGTCATTAAATGGTATTGCAAAAATAGTACTGTGGTATTTAATGCAAGTTTAACAGGATAATACCATATGGACCTCAGCACTGAGTTCATTGTGTTTTTGTTGTTTTACTACACTACAGTAACACACTTCCACCACTTCCTGGTGTTATGGCGCAGAGTGTCCACTGGATGGAGCACAACACAAAGGAGAGATAAGCATGGAGTCACTGTACTGTAAACCAAACACTGATATATGAGGAGACACAGTTTGTGATAAACATGTACAGGATAACCTCTCGTGTTGACCAAGGACAAATGGGGTTTCCCAATGGTGTTCAATGTAATAGTCCAACTATGACCATGCTACCTGCATATGTCTTTGTCAAGAGATTTTAGTTGAAACAGCTTTTGACACACCTCATCCCTCCCATCTGTAAAGCAGAACCTTTGCTCCATAACTATCAGAGAAAACCTGGTATTTCTCAATACCCATGCAGATCAGAGGGAGGGAACAAACCAGCAGACAGTGAGAGGAGGAGCTACAGTGGAAAGAGGAGAGTTTACGCGACACACTCAGGAAACGAATGTTACGTTAGTCAGAGAGGCAGCCACACTGCAGTCGAGACTCGTCTCTGTTTCTGTCTAAAGAAAATACAAACTGAGTTCATCATATCTTTCTGAACAACACAGCAGAGTCTCTGTCAAACACTGGTGAGTACAGCTGATTATTTTTACACTGTCAACAAGCAGGATTAACACAAACGTCCAACTTGTTTTTCTCCAACAACATAACCATATACAGTATATGATATAGAGTCCACGTTAAACAGCTTAAACAGTATCTTTGTATCAACTCTTAGTATTCACTTCTGCTCTCCTGCTCTTATTATATTTTGCTGATCACTTCCTACATAATGCTTTTACCCATTTCCTCTAGCTGTTTCAAAATAAAATCTTTCCATTGGAGAAACAGTTAGAGGCTTTTGATGTGAAGCAGCCGGAGTAAATTAATTGTAATGGTCACACAGTAAGAAGAGCAGTGTTATTTTCAATAAAAGAATGATCGAGAACACCTATATTTTCCTTGCTGTTTGCCAGAGTTGCATGCTTGAACCTGTCAACGTGAAATGGTCACGGTTGCTCATGGCTTGTTACAAGTTATCAAACTTCTTTCTTTAAAACTATATATAATATGAATTGATGATTGATGTTTCAAATGTTTTTTCTTTTCTTTCACATGTGTGTAGATATGGCTGCTGCAAGCTACCTGCCTTCTGAAGATCAGTTTCTCTGCTCCATCTGTCTGGAATTGTTCACTGATCCAGTCACTATACCATGTGGACACAACTTCTGTAAAGACTGCATCACTGAACACTGGGATACAAGTGACAGGTGCCAGTGTCCCATGTGTAAAAAAGAGTTCAACACAAGACCTGAGCTGCACGTTAACACTTTGTTCTCTGACATGGTCGCTCAGTTCAGACAGTCGGCTCAACAGAAAGCCAGCAGCAGCAGCAGCAGCAGCTCAGAGCAACAAGTCTTCAAACCGGGAGAAGTTCCCTGTGACATCTGCACTGAAACCAAACTGAAGGCCCTGAAGTCCTGCCTGGTGTGTCTGACCTCCTACTGTGAGACTCACCTGGAGCCTCATCTGACAAAGTCAGTACTGAAAAGACATCAGCTGATCGACCCTGTGGAGAACCTGGAAGACAGGATGTGTCCGAAGCACGATAAACCTCTGGAGCTGTTCTGTAAGACCGACCAGACATGTGTCTGCATTCTCTGCCATGTTTCAGACCACAAGATGCATGATGTGGTTCCTCTCAAAGAAGGATATGAAGGTAAAAAGGCAGCGCTGGGAAAGAAAGAGGCTAGAATTCAGGAAATGATCCGGAAGAGACAACTGAAGATTGAGGAGATCAAACACTCAGTGGACCTCAGTAAGGAAGATGCAGACAGAGAGGTAGCAGAAGGGGTTCAGGTCTTCACTGCTCTGAAGGAGTCTGTTGAGAGAAACCTGAATGAGTTCATCCAAACAATAGAAGAGAAGCAGAACATGAGAATGAAACGGGCTGAAGACTTCATCAAAGAGCTGGAACAGGAAATCTCTCAGCTGAAGAAGAGAAGCTCTGTGGCGGAGCATCTCTCACGGTCTGAAGACCCCCTCCATTTTCTGCAGGGTGTCCAGTCCCTAAACATCCAACACCCATCACTCACCAAGGACTGGACAAAGGTCAGCATCCCTCCATCATCATATGAAGGGACTGTGGTGAGAGCTGTGGTTCAGCTGGAGGAGACACTCTGTAAAGAGATGAAGAAGCTGATTGAAGCTGATGTGAGGAGGGTCCAGAGGTATGCAGTGGATGTGACTCTTGATCCTAATACAGCAAATCCCGGTCTCATTCTGTCGCGTGATGGAAAACAAGTCCGTGATGGTGATGTTGAAAAGTATCTCCCAAACAACAGAGATAGATTTTCTGATGATATCTGTGTCTTAGGAAAGCAGAGTTTCTCTTCAGGCAGATTTTACTTTGAGGTTCAAGTTAAAGGAAAAACCGAGTGGGATTTAGGAGTGGCCAGAGGGTCGATCAAGAGGAAGGGAGAGATTCCAATGAGCGCTGAAGATGGATTCTGGACTATATGGCTGAGAGAGGGAAATGAGTACAAAGCCAATGATGAACCTGCAGTCAGTCTTTCTCTGAAGTCAAGGCCTAAGAAGGTGGGGGTGTTTGTGGATTATAAGGAGGGTCTGGTCTCCTTTTATGACGTAGATGCTGCAGCTCTGATCTACTCCTTTACTGGCTGCTCCTTCACTGAGAAACTCTACCCATACTTTAGTCCTGGTGGTAAATATGGCCGTAAAAATGCTGCTCCTCTGATCATCTCTCCTGTCTGAGTCACCTAATCACTCATCTTATTTCATGTGTTGATTTAGTCAGAACATAGTTTCCATTTTATTTTCTACATAATAAGTTGACTGTGGTGATTGATTTACATTTCATTATTTATGTATCTCATTACATACAACACATTATTGGAAGCATTCATTTACTCAACAATTATCTCATCAACACTTACTCTAACACATATGGAGAATATATGTATTAAAGTTTTTATAAAGCCACAGATAATTACTTTAACTTCAAGAAGGAGCCATTGTTTCCAAAGACACCAAATGTGTCAAGCTGAAGTTTGAATCAATAAGCAAAATAAATGTTTAATATTGTGTCATAAAGGGTCATTTAAAGGTGGGGTAGGTAAGTTTGAGAAACCGGCTCGAGATCGCTAGAATTTGAAAATACACAGCCGGAAAAAATCTGCCACTTCCTTACAGAGCCCCTCCTCCAACACACACGAACGCGCACATGACCAATGAGGGCACGAGATAAGTTTGTGCACAGATGGAAGGCTGACAGGCAGGTAGGCCATCCAGTTATTTTAGCCGGGCCGGCTAAAATGACTGGTCGTGCTTTTTACAGTACTATTGCTTCCACAGATGATTTTTTGTCAAAGCACTTAAGATATTCATTGCTATCGGGATGTTAAGAGCATTCCATGGAATATAACAAAAAGTGTATCTCGAGCCGGTTTCTCAAACTTACCTACCCAACCTTTAAGAGAAAAGCCTATTACATGCCTGTAGTGTCTACAAAATAAAATATGTGTAATATTATAGGTAAATGAAGCTAAATAATATGACATAAAATAAATAATAATGGTTTGGTTAATAACTGTTAGCTTGTATATTTACATGCCAGGTGTTATAGTGAATACTGGTAAAATAGCTTATGAATCAAAGACATCTGTAAATATGTGATTTTGAATTAAAAACATTAAACTAAACTGCATGTTGAACACAAGGTCTGAGAAAGCAGGGACTCGAGCACTAAACACTGAACAGGAAGGCATCATTTACATATCATTTGTATTTCATGACACATTTCCTGTAGCTAATTCACAAATAAAATTACTTGTATTACATCTGTTAATGGCTTTTTGTGTGAAGAGCTTGTAGGATGAAATGTTTGTTTCCACTAGCAGTGATTGGATATTGGCTGTAGAGCAGAAAACAGTGGGGCTGATATCAGTGAGATAGCATTCACTTTTACGAGTGAAGGCAGTCACTATAACACAAAAACTACTCTTTACAATGAGGTAACTAACTACAGAGTTTAGTATTATACAAGTATTTATGCCAACAACTAATATAAGGAAAAATGGGGTTTGATTTAATGATATTTTTTAAGGATATTACAGTTAGACTTAAGCCCTACCATTTTCTTCCTGTAGTTTTGCCATATTTGTATGAAACTAGTTTCCCCCTTTGTGATATAAAAAGCTGAATCAACATGATGTCCTACATTTGTTTGCATTGTGTCAACACTTATGTGTGTTTGCTGTGTGTGGTAGAAACAACTGGGTGAAATGTGATGAGGGTCACATGACTAACGGGGGTTGGCAAAAAGCCAGAATACACCTTTCCTAGGTTCTCAGTTTTAACTCATCATGCATACACGAAACCCTCCTTTTCTTATACTTTGAAAAAAATGCCTTTTCAAATTATTTCCCTCCCAGCACATTTTTATAATCATTGAACTAAACAAGAACTCAATGTGAAACGGATTAAATATGTTTTCTTTCATCCAAGATAACAATCTTGATAAGTACAATTTTAAATAAAAAATTAATATACTAATTTCAAGGTCACTGGTCTTTGTTGTTTGTGTGAGTAATGTGTTCAGTGTTATTTCAGATGACAGGAAACAAGTCTTAAAAACACAAAAGGAAAGTTATGCATGAAAAATCTCCTCACATTTTTATAAGGCCTTTTGAGCCAGATTTAAAAATAGTCAAGAAATGGTATTGCAAAAATAGTACTATGGTATTTAATGCAAGTTTAACAGGATAATACCATATAGACCTCAGCACAGAGTTCATTGTGTTGTTGTTGTTGTTGTACTACACTACAGTAACACACTTCCACCACTTCCTGGTGTTATGGCGCAGAGTGTCCACTGGATGGAGCACAACACAAAGGAGAGATAAGCATGGAGTCACTGTACTGTACACCAAACACTGATATATGTGGAGACACAGTTTGTGACAAACATGTACAGGATAACCTCTCATGTTGACCAAGGACAAATGGGTTTTCCCAATGGTGGTCGATGTAATAGTTCAACTATGACCATGCTACCTGCATATGTCTTTGTCAAGAGATTCTAGTTGGAGGTAAAAAATAAGCCTGATGTTACAACAGTTTATATTTTTCTAACAACCCTAAAAATGCTTAAAGGCATCCATCAATGATCCTAATTAACCAGGAAGATTTTTTTGGGCTATGGGTAGTAAGTGATATAAAGTATTCTTACTCTTCTGCCTACAGAGCTCAGTGATTCACAATAAACTCATCTATAGGTACAGTAACATCTTCACCTCATGTAAAGTCAGGAAAACTCTGAAAGTTGAGAAACAAAATCCCTCTAAAAAGAGCTGCAGTAACAGGTAGTAGTTGAGAGGGATAAGACACATTGGTTTCTCTCAAAAGGAACCTAAAACTAAATGAAGCTCAGCTCAAGTTCTGTCAGGAGGACTGGGATACATTCACTCCGCAGCTGCATATAATCAGCTCATCACGGGCGTTGTCTTTAACCTATTACATTCACCTCATTCTCCAGCAGCCAATCACCGTGCTGCAGACAAACTTTTAAATGGTTCTCCTCTCTCCTGCAGTCAGCTGTGATTTGAGGTTTTCATGCTGCCGCCCGCCTCCTCCCCATCCACCTCCTTTCATCATATCCAGTGCCAGGAGAGCTAATCCAAAGACCTCATCCCACCTCCTCTTCATCCCATCTCCTCATCAAATCCAGATCTTCAGCATCATCACCAGTGTCTAGACCCCGGGGGTTCCCTATATGCTCACGGCTGCATTTCCCCTTTAGATATACGATTTCAGGATCGGGGTCTAATCGCCAAAGACTTCACATTTATCATATGACATGTGTCAATAAATGTTCTTTAAACAAAATGAAGTCTCTCCTGATTGAACTGAGTTCATCAGGTTTTTATTTATTTGATTTAATCGTTTATTTGAAGAGGGACAATGCATATTAATAAATAATGCTTTAAAACGTAAACATGCCGGATTTGAGCTTTGAGCTAATTTCCATCCGGAGTCCCTCACATACAATATTTAAGAACCTGACATTTATATACATAGCAAAAATAAATACATGATATGCAGAAAGAGCATGAGCAGCATATAAGCATTTACCACATGGCATTACAATGTAGCAGCTACGACAGAGTCTCTACAGTCTCTACAGAGACTCTGCCAAACACTATCTGCTGATAATGTTAACAATATTTTAGAAAGTATTCATATTCTTAGATAGAAATACCTAATTTTGAATTATTTAGACATATTGAGGAGAGCATATTAAGACCAAAGCTCATGTACAACAACTTCCTTACTTGCAATAAATAAGCACTAATTAGAGGGTTATTGAGGAAAAACTCTTAACTATTGTCCTAGTACTTGTAGAATATGGTCATGTAGAATAAGGCATTAATAAGTGTTTTATAATGGCTAATAAAGAGCCAATATACTGCTAATATGCATGTTAATTAACAACTAGTTGATGGTTAATTTGTGTACCTTAATATAAAGTTGTACCGCTTATATGATGAAAATCGTTCATGTGCCTTATTCTGTATTTGACATAATTGTTTCAATAAAAAAAAAATATGTAACTCAATATATTGAGATAGCTAAGTCAATATATTGGGATAGCTAAGTCAATATATTGAGATAGCTAAGTCAATATATTGAGATAGCTAAGTCAATATATTGAGATAGCTAAGTCAATATATTGGGATAGCTAAGTCAATATATTGACTTTCAGGATTTTTTTTTTTTTCCTGTGGCGCAAACAGGCTTCCATACACAATCTCCTAAAGGTACAAATAAGCTTCAGGACTCAGGGTGGGGTCTTCTCTATGGCAGCAGTTGGCATTTAAAGACTGTTGAAGCTGGAAGATGTTGGACTGGTGAGTTTCGGCCTGTTTAGCCAACAACCATTGCTACCACATATGTGTGTCTTTAGCTTGGACATTTATTTCGTCCCTACAAAATCCTACATTTTAGGAGGAACAGAATCAATGAAAACATTCACAATACGCACTCACACACACACCTACCCACACATCAGTGCTGACACTGTTGGTTATCAATGATCCACTTTTTCACACTGTGCTTGAATGTGTAGTAGGATGAGGATTCTCTTATAGATGGTGGTATTGAATTCCATTGATGGGATGCGTTGAATGAAAAGACAGCCTGGCTAAATGCACTTTTCCTCAGTGGGATCGAGTAGCCCTGGTTGAGGTGGGCTTTTAAGAGGACTTTTAAACTCAGAGTTATGTTCAACAACCTCACTTCTCTAGTGGTTTAACTAAATAACAACAAGCAGCTCCCCTGTGCCCTCTGAGTATTCTCCTGAAAGTAATCTAGCACATGTCTTTGTTCTAATACGTTCATGATGTGCATTGTGGTAGAAAGTGAATTATTCAAGTATAATTCTTCACAATCCATAGGAACTGATTGGCTGTATCCCTTCAGTCGACTCTGTTCGTCTTCAACACACCTCAGAGGCTATTTTATTACTTTCTGCTTCACCTCATTTATCTGAGAGCTCTAGATACTTACAGATAGACATTTTACACGAAAACCCACAGCTAAAATATTTTACTGTAAAGGCTTGAACTATGAGTAACATATATAAGGTACTTCAAATAAGCTCCAATAATAATACTTTAATCATGCATTATATAATATGGTAGCTCTAATAGTGGTCATTCTACTAAAACAAGGTTTCTAATACATGACTTTTACTTGTTTGGGTATTGCTTCTTTTATTTAAGTAAAGGAAGTGTGAGATTTACATCCAAAAATACAGATTTATGTTGTGTTGGAGAAAGACATTTTGCATCAGACACACAATTAAAGATTTTTATTTGAACACAACAGGAACAACATAACTCAATACAACAGGTGAAAAGTTACAAAAAATGTTTTATTTGAATAGTCTGTGTTATATTGAGTTTGATTCAATAGTTTGTGGCACTTTTTATGTAAAGAGAAGAGCTGCAACGATAAGTCAATCCACAGAAAAATACTTTCCAACTATTGATGATCAACTGGTTGGAAGTTATTTGAAGATATTAGATATTTTACAAACCAAACGATTAATTGAGAATATAATCGTTAGCTTCCGCCCTAAAGCTAACCTTCACTAGGAGCACTGATGGGAGGGTGAGTTTTGTTTTTGTGTAGAATTCAAATACCTACAATCCAGAATCACAGACTCCACCTTCAAAGCTTTCTTGGACTTGATGGTTTTACAAAGTGGATGTAACTGGAATAAACAACATTAGAGCTGTCGGAAAAATAACCTTTACTGAGAAGAACTTGGAAAATGGACTATCAAAAGCCTGTTCTTAATTCTCCAGATATCTCAGTGAACCTGCTTCTGCTTCTTCCTCCTAACAGAGTTTTAAAAGCTAACACACAGCTGGAGACCTCACACACACGTTTATGTTTTCAATGTAAATCAGATGTGGACAGTCTTTCTGGGCTTCCGGGGCTTCTTCGGTCCTTTCTTTTTGCTCTTTTTGTTCGGATCAGTCATCTCTCCTTTGAAAGAGCCGGAGCTTGTAGTTGTAGTCGCAGTCGGTCGGTTTCCAGAGAATTTATTTTGAGCTTTGAAACCCCCCCGGGCGCCTCCTTTCTCCGGCCCCGAGCCCCTCATTGGTCCCTTCATAGGTCCCTTCATTGGTCCCTTTCCGGGCCTCCCTGGAGCTCCTTTTCCCTCCGGAGTCTTCTTCTGCTTCTCCTTCTTCACCGACCTCTTCACCCGGATGGTCCTGGTCTCCAGCTTTGAGCCATCGAGCTCCAACGCCAGCTGCACGGAGTCTGCGCTCTGAGACACAAAGATACAAAACCATCAAATCTCATGTCAAACCTGTTGTAGAAAAACAGCAATAACCTTGAGAAGGGCGGCACTATAACAATAATAATAGATTACATTTGTATAGCGCCTTTCAAGGGACCCAAGGCCGCTTTACATGGTGAACAACAAGGCAAGGCAACAAACAAAAGGGGCCAATAATAAAGTACAAATTAAATAAATATCAGTAGGAGTGGAAGCAGGGGGACTGTGATGGGTTAGGGGTCAAAGGCCATGGTGAACAGGTGAGTTTTTAATGATGACTTGAAGATGTCCAGGGAAGCAGCTATATAAGGAGAATATGCAATATGTGTCTAATATCATAATAACATTATAATTTATGATTAAACAGATATCAGGCTTACTTCGTTCAGCCTCTCTTATCTAACTGATTGAGCTGAGCGTAGGAGGAACCAACAACAACAATGCAGAAAGATGTGTAGTTCCGTCTAATCCAAAAATCGATATATCCACAAGTAGCAATAGGCTTGACTCCAACTAAAATACGTCTCAGGAAAGTTTGGTTGAGAGTACAAAAACATATTTTTAAAGGTCAAAAACCGATATTGCTCCGTGATTCTTTTTTCTTTCTCACTTCTAATAACCAGCAGCTGCGGTCGGCTATGACGTCAATTTTACAACGGCTGATAAATGATATAATAATACTAATAACAAAGAATTACAATGTTCAAATATATCTATATACACACACAATATATCAAATTATACATTTTAACATATGGCTCCTACAAGATGTTAACGTTTTGAAGTGCCGTTTTGCGCTTTCTTTAAAAAGATCCTATGGCTATCACAAAGAAAGTGACATATTGTGCAGATATCCACATCCAGGACACAAAGTGAAACAGTAGAGCAGCCTCTGTGTGGTCGTACCTCAAACAGGACGTATCCGAACCCTTTCCCCAGGCCGGAGTTCTGGTCTCGAACCAGCCGGACGCCCTCCACATCGCCACACTCCTCAAAGTGCTGCCGGAAAGACAGCTCGTTTATCTCTGAAAACACAAACAGCAGGTTAGCGTCAACATGACAAACAACAGTAATTGTGAATGTTAAAAAAAAATGCAGGGGGGCTCACCGAACGAAAGATTCCCCACGAATACGGAGCGTTTGTGATCGTGCTGCAAGGCGAGAATGAGTTCAATGCATATAATAATGATACATAATAAACGTTCAACATATAGCAACTTCAAACCCAAAACGTTTGAATACACACAGAGAATAAAATCAGCAACTGTTACTAAAACTAATCCCAGATATCAGATCACATGATGTGGAGACTCACTGCTGAGCTCTCCGTCACTTTGTCCACTCGGATGTGAAATCCTTTCTCGATCTCCATGCCGTTCCTGTGAGGAGACACACACAGAGAGAGAGTGTTTAGTTACATGCAAAGAGTTAGACTGTGTGTGTGTGTGTGTGTGTGTGTGTGTGTGTGTGTGTGTGTGTTTGTCTGACCTCTCCAACGCCTTGGTGACTCCTTCCTCGTCTTTAAACACCACGTAGGCGTTCATGCTTTGCTTCTTGGGATGAACTTTGCGCCTGTAAAGTAGAAGATATATCTTTAAGGAGAGGATGACAAAGACACTAAAATAATTCAATCTAAAAACTATCTTTATCTTACACTGGCAGCTTTTATTATAGATTCTGTAATCTTATGTCCAAAGGCTTTTTTATAGTTTTTTGTCAACCACTTTTAATTGCCTACTTGTTGATATTTGAAACATGCCTCGCCTTAAAGACAGTTCATCCGTTTTTAACTCTTCATGTTACTTACTGAATAGCTGCTAGTTTGCGGGACATGGCGGGATCCTCTCTGACCTGCAGGGAACACACAACAGATCAATAGAAGATAACACTTTGTTTTAATATCACGACAAGCAGCTGCTACAGAGCTCTGAATGTATTGAAGTGAACACGAGAACCATTTTCATACAAGATGATAAAGATTCCTAAAGAACATTCTTACAGCGTACCTCAGAGAAATTAGATTCAGTGAGAGTTTTACTTGATTAAAGGTTCGCAAACTTAAAGGATAAGCTTAATCACACTAACACTGAATCAGTAGATTTCTACAGAATCACAACCATCAGCGTATTTTTCTTGGAGGAGGGGGGGAAATAAATGAAGTTCAACTTTGGTGAAATTTGTCATGTGAAAGTTGTGGGGGAAACTTCTGAAGCAATAGGAGTCAGGACTCAGAGAGACACGAGGAGAGCTGGAGCTTTGATGGCAAACACTGACGGTTTATTTGGAGCTTCGGCCGGAAAATTCACAAGACATGTCCCGGGCCACGGTCTGACCACACGGTAGAGATGCCACAATCAATTCTGAAGACCCCTCCTGTAGCTCCAGGTTTTAACTAGTTCAGTGTAATAATCAACATTCTTCATTAGATAGACTAAACAGCTGAGGACACTGAATCACATTTGTTGTCGCTTATGGCTCGGGTCTTCTACACCCCGAGAAGGATGTGTTCCAGGTGTCCCACAACAATAACTATCTCTGACCGAGAGTTGCCCGGTACAAACTGGTAACAACAACAAAATGCTAGGGCAGCCCCTCCTTAAGGGAGATAGGTACGAGAGCTGGAAGAACATGTCCGCCAGTCTTCCTGACTCGTTCTCCTCCTCCCTTTATGACACCGAGTGTCTGGTGTGTAAAGGCATCCTGGTACTGTAGGTTAGCACTGAGGTGCTGATTGACTCAAACTCTTCTTCATCAGAGCGCCATATTTCAACCCCCCAATTGCTCTGCTTAGTGACTTTTTAAATCTAGAGAGTACAAAAAATAGAAAGTTGTAGGAGCTTATTATCTTTCATTTGGCGATATAAATGTGTCCCGAGTGAACTGTCCGCTTTTGGTTCTGGTAGAAAATTCCTTTTATCAAAATGACTAGTTTGGAAATGTTCTTTAACAGTCTTTAATAATCTATTTAATAAAATGGATGAACATTACTGAACACATGACAGCAAGTTGAATAGAAACGTAGGAAGAAGCTATAAGAGTTAGTAATATGACTGAGTAGCACTTCAAAACCCAACTGCATGCTGGGATTATTTGTGTGTAGTGTTTTTACCACAGAGCGAAACCGCACAGACTCGATGGATCCTTTCTCCCTGAAGAGGCCCTGCAGGGTCTGGAAAAACAACACAAATACCCAAAACATCAGGTTTTTTCCTTTCTCCAACATAGTATTGATCAATCCAGGAATAACAAACTGGTTTAAAGATTTAAAAAAATGATATTTGGTCACTAAACATATCTAATGTGTCGCTACAACGCCTGAATGTCTTCTCTGGGGTTAAAAAGGCTTGTCTTATCTCCTCTCATTTTGTAATATCTTTTGTGATGTTGGGTACCTTCCTGGTGCAGCTGACGGGCAGGTTGCCTACGAACACCGTCCTCTTCTTCTTTGTCACCTCCTCTTCTATCCTGTTTCTCTTCATCTGCCTCTTTATCACATACTGCTCTGCATCGTTCCCATCGCTCGGCTCCGTCTTCTTCTTCTTCTTCGCCGGCCCTTGCTCGTCTTCATCTGCACAATGTAAACTGAGCTCCCTGAAACCAACGAGGAAGAGCAAGGGATCAGAAGAGAGGGGTGGAGGTTACAGACTCAAAGAGGTCAAAACAATCCAAGGAGTTACGAGGATTTTCTTATATTTGTTCTAGGACGGGTAAAAAAGAAGACTCCTTTAGAGGACAGACCTTCAAGACTAACAATGGTGATTAGGGATGCACCGATCGATCGGCCAATATTCACTCTCTATAAAGGCCGATCGGGAGAGCCGGTCACATGACGTAAAATACATGACACTTTTCTCTGTGCGCGGCAAAACAAGCTCGCCAAAATGTCTTCACCAGTCTGGCAGTTTTTTAAGGTGTCCGAAAAAGACAGTAAAATAGCGGTATGCAACGTGTGTGAAGCAGAAATCCTGCAGCTCCACCCGCTGTGACGGACCGGTGAGCGGAGCAGAACACACATTAAGAGTTAGACCTAACACACTTAGCTATTTTATCTACCTCTGGAACAAGCTAAACTAGTTATAAATATATTTATTCTTCACTGTCGGGTCACTCATTACTGGATCAGTGAGCTGCAGGAGATACTGACAGGCTGTCAGGGGGGAGAGAGAGAGAGAGAGAGAGAGAGAGAGAGAGAGAGGGAGAGAGGAAAAGAGAGTGCTTCCGCTCATTTCTCCCGTGTTATTATCCCAAGTTAATGTAAACTTGAATAATGTACTTCATTTGAATGTAACAATTATGTTGGTTGTTGTTAGTGGAGGCGCCAGTGAATGAGCCCCATTAACTGAGTTTTAAACATCACTTTAAATGGAAGATCCCCATAGGCCCCGCCCACTCGATCGGTATCGGCCGATACTGATTCCGGCGATCGGAGCATCCCTAATAGTGATAGTATAACATATGATAGCTGAGGAGAAAATCAGAAGAAAGACAAGAAAACCAAAGGAAGGGGACAGAAAGAAAGTAGAATCAGCTCTGTGGGTAAATATATAAAATGTTTCTAAACTCCGTACCTGTCTTCCAGCTTCAGGTCGCCCTCTGTTTTCTCCTTCAGCTGCTTCTGCTTCTTCTTGCTAAGTTTAACTTTGACTTCTGGAGTTTCCTTTGGCTCCTCTGTTTCTTCTGTGCTCTTCGGAACAGGCTGCAATAATAAAAAAAAAAGAGTAAGCGACCACAGAGGACATGTTGAAGTCTAGTGATGTTCTATATTTTTCTTCATGCACTGACTCAAACCGAAAGTGCATGTATGAAGTACTCCACGTGCATCAAAGCCTCAAACATCCACCAAAAAAGTTTATTTCTGTGTCTTAGTTTCTCTTATGTACATTGCCTTGTGTTTGTTATGCTGCTGCAACTCAAACATGTCCCAAATTGGGATCAATAAAGTAAGTATCTTTCTAATGGCGCTTTTCCACTACAGGGCCTCGCTCGGCATAGTACGGTATGGCTAGGCCTCGTTAGGCCTTGTTAGGCCAGGCTCACTTTATGCTGCGTTTCCATTACAGTTTAGGAACTGGGGTAGTAACTATAGTAACGCAGTGTAGGCGGAGCCGTGACGTCATCTTCAATGCAAAACACAAAAACAACATCAGCCGTTAGCTGTTAGCACTCAAGCTCACAGAAAACACGCATTTTAAAAGGTTTTTCGCCTGCCGTCTGTCTGCAGACTTGTCAAAGCATTAATTCATGGTTTTTACTAACCGGTATCAGTATGTTGTTACTTCGGCATCATTTTGAAACGTGTATTACAATTAAATCACGGTCAAATATGTTCATTTTGTTGTAGTTGTAGCCCCCTTGGCAGCAATTCTCTCTCTAGTTTAGCATACTCAGCCCGGTTGTTGGCCCGGAAAGAACCTCGATTTTGGAGAGCCAGAAAACTGTGAAAAAGTACCCGCTAGCCGGAACTACGCCAAGTGGAAATGCAACCAAAAACGGGCACGGCACGCTTAAACCACGCTGTAATGAAAATGCACCATATCTATCTATCTATCTACCTATCTTCCTGCATCACCATGATCACACCAAACGTGGATTACTCCGCCGCTGAAAATGGTCCCGAACGAATGCTTCTATTACTTTTTATTCAAACTACATATGAGTGTGTGAGTTACCTTGGGTGCAGGCTGAAAGAGAACAGGTGGAGCGGGAGCAGCAGCCCCGAATAAAGCCGACAGCGATCCGGAGGCTTTAGATTTCTTCTTGAACAAACTTCCTGACACCTGACCGACCACGTAGTCAGCTGGCTGCTCCGGCTGCTCCTGCTGCTCCTCCTCACTGCAGACAGAAACATTAAGATGAAGTAGGAACAACATCCAGAAAAACACATGTTTGATAGATGCTAAACGTGAAAGAGGACACTCAATAATAAGGGCTCAGCTCTGTGGATACTTTGTGGTTATGTGCTTTGCAGTGGTTAAAGCGGTGAAATGAACGGTTAGTCTTATATTTTGTCAGTTTTTTTTTATCTGTAGAGTTACTTATATTGAAATGATATATCACCATCTCAACTTACTTGTATTTCTGTAGCTGTTACTGTAGTTTAAAAAGTAGAACAACTGAATAAAACTATACAAATAAAAAGGTCAAGTACAAAATAAATAGTGGATTAATCAATAAGTCTCGCTAAAAATCTGATGGCTATTTTTCTTCTAATGGTTTCAGCTTCTCTAATGTGAAGGGTTTGCAGCGTTTCCTTTTAATAATTGTAATATAATAGAAATAATGTTGAGGTTGTAGCCTACAGTTGGTCGAAGAAAACAAACGTTGTGAAGTTGTCCATTTGTGCGTACTTGATTAAGAAATTACACTAAATTAATCGTCATTTAGAGCTCCAATTTAACAGACTTGTGAGTAATCACCTCGTTTTAAATGAATGCATCAGTCATTTTATATAAATATTCAAGAGACAATATGAAATACTCTTTCCACTGACGTGACATTTTAAATGCCGGAGTTTAAAGTGTGATATTAGTACTTTTACAAAAGTAGAGGATCTGAATACTTCTTCCCCACTGCTGGATGTTGAATGCATGAACAGATTAATTCATTACATTATAAATAACACCAGCCGCTTTGCCCTGAGTCTTCCAGACCACAGTTAGTTTCAAACTATTAGTCTGTAGGTAAACAAATGCCGCAGTTATCTTTCTTGACTATTTTTTGGAAATCAAACATGTGTAAACAAACCTCTCCTGCAGTTTCTTCTTCATGGTTTCTACCGGATTATCCCAGCGTCACTTAAAGACTGACTTCCGGTTATATCTTTATATACAAATATAAGTAATTTATCACGTTAATTGCAGCATTTACACGAAATTCCACAACTATAAACTCCAATAACACGAGAAATATTACGCACACGTTTTCCCAACTGCACACTGCTTGTCCTATTGCGAAACATGTCCCACAGGAAACACGGTCATAGCGGCACATTGGTTCCGTGCAATGTTCCTTGATTATTTGACACCGAAGAAATAAGCACCCATAAAGAGGTCGCAAACATATGTTGTTTTACTCTGTATATGTTCCTATGTTCCATGATATTAATTGTTTGTTTGTATATAATGTTTGATGTACACGTATATATTATTGGATATATATGAGACATTATTTTTTAATTATTAATATTATTTATTCTACATTTCGATATAGTTTTTCTTATCCATCGTTATTATTCCAAACGGCTGCTTGTTTTTACATTTCTAAAAAATAAAATGTGTCTTTATTTTGAAAAATGTTGGGGAATCGCAAACCGTCAAATGTGTGCAGCCTATACATCTGTCCGTTCCGGTGAGCTACATACGTCTGACGTTCTGTGTTGTAAACAGAGGCTTTTCAGTTACTGAGCATTTTAGTTCTAATTTCTAAACCAACTTGTAACCGTTTTTAAAAGCTACATTTACAACACCTCAGGTAATTATATATTGTGTTGCCAGTTATTGTTTTTACTTGTGTTTTGGGAGGAAATAAAAAATAACGTCATGTTTCATCATGACCCAGAACAGGGGATGGGAGTGGACCAGCCGGATCCGGAGGAGGTGGTTGATCGGCGGGTCTCGTGCGACGGGGAGCGTGCCACCGTGCGATATTCGGGCCCGGTGCCCCCCACTGCAGGTAAGATAAAATAAGACTTTATTTATCCCGAAGGAAATTGTTGTGTCACAGTTACAAAAATACAATAAACACAGCAGCACAATAGTAAAACAGTACACTACAAGTGCAGTAAAAAGAGCAATGAAATATCTACAGGAAACATGAAACATAGACGGTCACATAATTAATGTAAATAAGTAGGCTGAGAAGCGGGGAGGGACATTTCCCCCTCTCTACCCCCGGTGACAGTGTGGTGTACAGTAACTAAGTAGATGTACTGAAGTGCTGTATCATTTGGAGGGACTTGAGTATTGAGTGTATTCATTTTTATACTTTCTACTTTGAATTGCCTTGTGTTGAAAGGTGCTATATAAATAAACTTGCCTTGCCTTGCCTTGCCTTACTTCTACTCCACTACATTTCAGATGTAAACAGTGTACTTTTACTACATTTACTTACACCTGGAGTAAATTCACAAGCTACCCTGCAGTATACAAAGTCATTCAAACTAGCTGCACCTTTACCAGCTTTGATAACACTTTAATGATCAATCATTATAAAAAATATCATATATATTATTCTGAAATGGACCAATCTGCACAATGTCTGTCAACATGTATTTAACACACATCGTTTAAAACTGTTTTAGGAACGTCTGTTTTAGGACATCTTTTAATATTTGACAAGGTTTTATTCAATTTAAAAAACAATGTTGATTTGGTGTCAGTACTGAAACTTGCCCAGCGTAACCCACATTGATACCGCTCCATTCACAACATGTTGATGCTGATGCCGCACACCTAATCTGAGTCTGTGTGTTGTGTGTTTTCAGGGTTGTGGTATGGCGTTGAGTGGGATAACCTGGAGAGAGGGAAACACGACGGCAGCCACAAGGGAGTTCAGTATTTCACATGCAGGTAATCCTGAGTTGTGACTGTCATTTTAATAACACATGCAGCTACAAGCTGAATCTTAGCTAACCACCTGCATTATAGCCAGTGTTACTGTGTACTTCATTGTCAGATATTTGCTTTACCCTTGCCAGAAAGTGAGGATCCTCTGGATGAAAATGCTACATATGTATATTTTCTGGATGCTAAGTGAAATGATAAACAGTTGAATCAATATGAGAATATGTTGTTAGACAAAATACGTAGTCACTGACTCAATTTTGACTTTTGACATCGATTCAGCAAATGAAAAAGGAATGAATGGCTCAATCCACAATAAAAACAATTATTTACTTTACATTTTAAAGTAAACGTTGTCCCTGGTGTTTCTCCACGCTCTCCCAGAAATCCTAAAGGAGGCTCCTTCGTCCGTCCAGCGAAGGTGAGTTTTGGAGTGGATTTCCTGACCGTAGTGCGAGAAAATTACACGATCGACACCGAGGAGGTGCTGAGTCAGGAGATCTCCATTTCCTCCAAGAAACTCAAGTGGGGGAAAGTCAAGGAGCGCAGGTACGACACTCCTCAGACAGTTTGTGTCCTTACTCTGTTTTAATTTCTCCTCTGAGGTTTTCTGAAGGTTTGTGCTGCTGCCTTTCTTTATATAATTAGACTCGAGCCTAACATATAAAATAAGACCTGGCTTTGTTGAAAGCAGCAACTCATAAATAAATTGGCTTCAGTAATCAAAGTCGAATCTGTCGAATTGTTTGCTCGTCTGTATAAACCTCAGGCCAGGCAACAGGATTAAGAGAAACAACTGAACTCCACATGTCTGCTAACAAACACCAATAATAATAATGAATGCTGATGTTTAATGAAACTGAGAAATTAGTATTCATTATTTCATGGATGTTTTGCAGTAGTGTACAGATGATCATTTAAAAAAGGCTGCATTAAAATACTGAATTTGGATGTTTTTGTAAATTCTCTTTCCTTGTGTTTTGTTGTTTTGTCTCCACAGTTATGAGAACCTGCCCTCAGTGCTGCTGACTCGCAGTGAAGTGAACGGAGCCGGGGCTGATGGAGAAATCAGGGAAACAACGCCAAGTATCTTTTTCTCTACAGAAAATACCTACTGATGTAAATGCATGTTTTAGACATTGCAAAAAATCCATATAGTGTTGAGATATTACCCAGTCTATGCGCACTTAAATGGACACCTGATTCAAATCACCATAATCTGGCCAACACGCTCAATCTGAAACCTTTTAGAGGATAACAAAAGATCACAAACAGAGACAGGAGCTTTACAACACGGACGAACAGACTTCAAAACAGCTTCTACCCCTAGATATGCTGCTAAACCAACAGTGTTGAGTTCAATACTCTTGAAAATACCTAACTTATATGCACTTTATAGCTTTTTTACACCATTTCTCTTAATTATTTATTACCCCCTTATGATTGTTTACGTCCGTCTGCCTTTTTCTGGCGTGTTTTGTTATTATATTGTTAGTTACTGTACACTATTATTGTGAGAGGGTTGCTCTCCAAAATATCTTTTTTTTGTACAATGACAATAAAGGCTATCTATCTATCTATCTATCTATCTATCTATCTATCTATCTATCCATCTATCTGTGTTGGCGATAGTTGTGAGTGTCATGGTGGAGTCTTTAACAGCAGTGATCAGACGTGCAGTGGTTGGACATGTGTGGGACTCTGATGTCCTGCTGGGAGGACGTGGCAGCCATCACTCAGCAGCTGGAACATCTGGAGGGACTGCAGCTCAGGTTGTGTGTGTGTGTGTGTGTGTGTGTGTGTGTGTGTGTGTGTGTGTGTGTGTGTGTGTGTGTGTGTGTGTGTGTGTGTGTGTGTGTGTGTGTGTGTGTGTGTGTGTGTGTGTGTGTGTGTGTGTGTGTGTGTGTGTGTGTGTGTGTGTGTGTGTGTGTGTGTGTGTGTGTGTGTGTGTGTGTGTGTGTGGTGATGTGTGTGTGTGTGTGTGTGTGTGTGTGGTGTGTGTGTGTGTGTGTGTGTGTGTGTGTGTGTGTGTGTGTGTGTGTGTGTGTGTGTGTGTGTGTGTTGTGTGTGTGTGTGTGTGTGTGTGTGTGTGTGTGTGTGTGTGTGTGTGTGTGTGTGTGTGTGTGTGTGTGTGTGTGTGTGTGTGTGTGTGTGTGTGTGTGTGTGTGTGTGTGTGTGTGTGTGTGTGTTCGTTTTCACTGAATCTTGTTTCATGTTTCAGCAACAACCGTCTGCGTCTCCCCTCTGAAGTCTCGTCTCTCTGCCGGTCGTTCTGCAGCCTCCGAACCCTCGCACTCAACAACTGCGACCTCACCTGGACTCAGGTACACCTTCTGTTCAGAACAACTCTCTGTGGGCCACTTTATAAATCCTCTGTTAATATAATAAAAAATAATCATTAAAAGTACGTTTTTGGTCTTGTATATATTAAAGAATAAAACATTAGATCAAAAGATAAATGTTTAAAAAAAATAGTATTGATACATATTCTATAGTGTACGCATTGAATATCGTTTATTAAGCTTTTATTTAATAGAACATTTAAATGAAAAAATACCTAAATTAAAATAAATCACCTATATATTTCTATAACTATTTTTTATATATGTAGTATTTATTATTATATATTTTTAATTATTTGCCAATACTGACATGTAATTATATTTGTATACATCTATATAAGATTTATCTAGAAACACGTATTTATAGATTTATTGATATTTGTATTAGTTTGTTTTTATATATGTATGTATTTATTTGGGGTACATTAAAGTTGTAATTATGTACTATTTAAATATCAAGTATTCAGAAAAATAAAATGCATTTGTACGGAAAACATACATTTCTGTATAATGTTTGTATTTATTTACTAAAACCTGCATTTATTATTTATCAATCGTCCTACCTTCCACCACATATTACAAAAACCTTTTCAAAAGTAAATGTATTTTTTATTTTATTGTCAAACATTTCACATAAAAGTCAAGAAATGTCACAAACCTTCCGTCCAAACCAAACGAGTTACTGTCGAAACCAAAGTGTGTCTTTAAATAAATAATTCAGATTTTATTTCTGTGATTTGTATTGATCTATTGATCTAACTCTCTCTCTCTCTCTCTGCTGGTCTGTGATCAGATCCTGGAGTGCGCCCCCATGTGGCCGCAGCTGGAGGATCTGTCTTTAGAAGAAAACAACATCACAGAGCTGCGGAGGTACAAGGTTCAAGGTTCTTTATTGTCAATCTGACATAGCTACAGAGTAATTATGCAGTTGAAAATCTTATGTCACAGGCTTCTCCAACAATGCAACATTGAACTTCAGTATCTCTGTATTCCCTCTGCTCCTGTTTGTGTCTTTTGTAGTAGATTTGTCTATTGGAGAGTATTCTAATGTATTCAGTATTTTTATATTGTGTATTCTTTAGGTACTCTATATATATATATATATATATATATATTTGTTTCTAATGGAAAGGTTTCAAAGATTCTTTAATGTCATTTACACAGCTACAGTGTAGATGTGTAAATGAAAAACTCAGGTTACAGGTTCCTCAACAAATACAATACAAATATAAACACATCCTAACACACTTAACATATATAATATCCTGCTTTATTGTGTTTACTGTAAATTAGTATTTCAACTTGTATATTTTCTACTTTTTTAACGCAGTTTTTTAAACATTTTGAGATGTTTACATTTTAGAATAGTTTACTTCTACTCTTTGAATTTCTTCTTATGTGCATTGCCTTGTCTTTTATGCTGCGGCGACGCAAACATTTCCCAAATTGGGTTCAATAAAGTACATCTTATCTTATCTGACATCAAACAAATACAAATAGTGCAAGCTCAGGAGTTTAGCCGTCTTAGTCTATATATATATATATTTAAATATTCGTCTATATGTATATATTTACTGTTGATCTTTTGTTTTATTCTATATCATTATATGTTTAACTCGTGTGTGTTACCTGTTCATTTCCACTCTCTGCTGCTGCTGACGCTAACAGTCTATTGTGGATTCATAAAGTGTGTCTCTTGTATCTGATGTGAAGGCCTGAAGGAGTGCTGCAGTCCCTGAAGAATCTCAACCTCTCCTCAAACCCTTTAGAGCAGAACACGGTGCTGAGTATCGCTGCTCTGCCCAGGTAAAACGCCTCATGTGTCTTACTGTTACATGTTCTAGTCCTTAGTTTGTTGATCTTAAAACGTGTCGAAGTGTTCCTCTTGTTTTATTTAGCATCAACACTGGACTGCAGCTCTTTAACCCTTGTGTTGTGTTCGAAAGCTGTTACCGTTCATGGTGTTCGCGGGTCAATTTTGACCCATGATTTATCTCCGTCCAAAACACACAAAAAAAATGAATATAATCCAATATTGTTTTAACTACATCATAACTAACGTAGAATGCATTCATAACCGTACAATCCTGTTGTAACTTAATGTTATGGCCCAAAACACATGACACCACATATTGCACACGTGCATATGTGTGTTCAGGTTCAAGTGTTAGTATTATTCTTTGAGAAAGGTGGAGTTCCCGTGGGGGGAGGGGGGCAGAGGGAGGGGAGGGGGGCAGAGGGAGGGGAGACCAGGTGCATGTTGCGAAACATTATTGTTACAGTTGATGAAGGGGGAGGGGTGTCTAAAGTCAAAGATGAATCTTGATTGGGCCAAATGTGACCCCGAGTCACCCAAAACAATTCTGCTGAGTCTCCCCAGACCCGAACACCAAATTATACACTTATTTTTTTAGAGACCTTCAGACTTGGCTAAAATTGTCAAAATCAGTTTTGTAGAGTTTATAAAGCTGTTGTGGAGGATATCATGAAGCCTTGTTCTGATAAGAAAAACTAGAGCGTAGTTATTATATCATTTTAACTTGAAACGGGTCAGGGGAGACCCCAACACAACATAAGGGTTAAAATGAATTGTTTTTTCTTTGTTTGTTTGTCTGTGTGTTTGTTTGCAGACTGGAGGGGTTAGACTTGTCTAAAACCGGACTGTCGGACATCAGATTTGATGACGCTGCTCCTGGTAAAAGAAAATCCCCATTTTAACAACTAACAAAAAAAAGTACATTAACATTTAACCACAACTGATTAACATCCAGTATCTTCTTGAAACTGCTTTTTATTATTGCTGGCACATTTATTTGTAATACTTTTATTATAGTTTATTTTTGTGACTACTCCTTATTAATGTTCAGGGGCCTCATTTATAAAGGGATATACGCTCAAAAAATGGCGTACACCAGTTTCTACGCAATGTTTGCGATTTATAAAATACTAACTTGACGGGAAAATGTGCGGTCCTCCACGCAAACTCTAACCTATGCGTACGCACTAAGCACACAAACGGGAGAGACGAGAAACTGCGACACCGTTGGCAGAAGGAAGAATGGAGAGAAATATGTAGAAATAATACCATAAATAAAATGTTACCTCTCATTTATCAAATATGAAGAATTCATTTTCAAACATTGATTAAAGCCAATCTTTAAATGATTAAACAAACGCCTGTTTGAGACTCCTCAGTGCACACAAAAACATAACTTGGAGAAATAAATAAATACGGATATGCTATTTAAAACCACCTCGAATATGTTGTGTTAATGTTATGAAATGTTTTCTCATAAATGATGCGGTAAGCAGGAGGACAGAATTACGTCTAAACTGACGCCGTTTTGCATTTCTATAGGTTGTAGATACGAGCATGGTTTTATATACTATCACGTTTAATCGTGTTTTATGCCGTTTGCCAAGACTTGATAAGTCGCTCGTAAAACACAGGAGGTATGGAAACTAAGAACACCATATGTGGTAAATTGTACAGCTAATATAACACAACACATTGTATTTCCTTTAACTGGTGGATTATGGATATATAGTTGCTGATCGACAGCTGGAACACAAACCACCAAATACAACAAAATAATTCAGATCCAGTCGTCATGACTCCACTCCGGAGGGATTCCCCGATCATTTCTTAGTTTCTCATCAAGGGGGGGTCTCCTGTCCCCGGGACAAACACACTGCCTGAGGTCTCGCCTGAGGAAGGTTATGTGTATTTTTTTTGTCATTAACTTTTTTCGGACCACTTATTTATTTATTTTGGTGACGATCCGACCTCCATGCTGCTACTCTGGTTCAAACTGCATCCACCAAACAATATGATTTATCTCGACCTCCCCACAATAACCAAAATCTGACACGGTGTGAGATGTCTTTTTTAGCTGTTCTATCGTAATTTCCTGCGATCTTCTTCATGCAGTCAGTCAGAATGAATGAATGAATGGGCGTTTCTTTGACTATGTATAGGCAAATATGGGCGTTACGAGTCGATTGTGATTTATCAAGGGAAACAGGCGTAGGGAGTGCCGTACGCACTTCCCTCGCCGGTACGCAATGTTTTGTGAATCGGAAAATGGCGGAAAATTTATGTACCTATTTTTGTGCTTTGTACTACGTAAGCAACCTTCCTACGTCAATCCTACGCAAGGCGTTATAAATGAGGCCCCAGGTCCTCCTTATACAGCGTGACACACATACAGATACACATTTTACCGATGTAAATACAGTTTGTTTAATTAATATTTTCTTTGGATACATTCGATTGTATTGTTATGCAGCATGTGTTTTAGTTGAGTCCTTGGTGTTGTGAACATATTGATGCTTATTGAGTGTTAATGGTGAGTGTTTCCTCTGCAGGATCTCAAACAGACATGTTCGCAGCGCTGACGACTCTCAGGCTGGATTACAACAAAATCACTGAGGTCAGTGTGTATCTCTGCTCCGACACACACACACACACACACACACACACACACACACACACACACACACACACACACACTATAAACACCTCAACAACAGATACAAGCAACTCATTGAGAAATAGTGACTTACCCAGAGTTCAAATGGCTAAAAGTATGAAACTGAAAATGGTATAACTGTATTTTAAAGGTCCCCTATTATGCTAAATCCACTTCTTCATGTCTCTTCTACATCAACATGTGTCCCCTCTTCTTCATGTCTCTTCTACATCAACACGTGTCCCCTCTTCTTCATGTCTCTTCTACATCAACATGTGTCCCCTCTTCTTCATGTCTCTTCTACATCAACATGTGTCCCCTCTTCTTCATGTCTCTTCTACATCAACATGTGTCCCCTCTTCTTCATGTCTCTTCTACATCACCATGTGTCCCCTCTTCTTCATGTCTCTTCTACATCAACATGTGTCCCCTCTTCTTCATGTCTCTTCTACATCAACATGTGTCCCCTCTTCTTCATGTCTCTTCTACATCAACATGTGTCCCCTCTTCTTCATGTCTCTTCTACATCACCATGTGTCCCCTCTTCTTCATGTCTCTTCTACATCAACATGTGTCCCCTCTTCTTCATGTCTCTTCTACATCAACATGTGTCCCCTCTGTGGAAAGAGATTCTGAAAGTTTCAGGAAAAAAGATTCTCTCTCTTTTTGTCCTGATCCATTTATATAAAAACCTGTCTGAAAATGAGCTGATCAGATTTTGGCCACTTTATGATGTCATAACGATTTGTTGTCTTGAGTAACCATTAGCCAATCACCAACCAAGGTAACCCCCCCCCCCCCCACCTTATCACCTGAATCTCCTCCTAGAGCACCATTGTGTTCTTTGTAACCAAATATCTCTCAGAGGGGCGTGGGGAGTGGCTCCTTATTTTCATCTAAAGTAACAGACACAGAATCAGCACTTTTGAAACAGGGCTGAAACAGAGGGGATTATGGGATGCTGCAATGATCTGTTTGGTGTTTGGAGCCAAACACTTCAGAGACATGTTTTGTATATATCTGAGAACTATAATATATTGATGAAAAAGAGTATAATAGGGGACCTTTAAGTAAGGGATAGTGTGCAGAGGTTCTTGTCAGGCTCCATGATGACCGCCTCGCTGCACATCATCCACTTATTACACGACCAGATACTAAATAAACTAATGCTCCCAGTACTAATTTAAATGATTTTATTGACTTAAATGATCGTAATGCTTCCTCTAAGAGAAACAAACTCTGTTCCTACGCGCACTAATGGACAAAAACCACCACGGAGACAGTTTCATCCCACAGGCCATAAGACTAATAATCACCTGAACTCTGTAAAGTGCCTCCATCTGTTTGCATCTTGCTACGTATTTATCTATATATCATATTCCATTTACGTGTATATAGACTCTTATTGCACTATTTCTATTTTATTTGTATTTACTTGCACATCTCAAAACATTCTCTTGCACTATTTTATTTCTATTATGTTATTTCTTTCACTATTTTATTGGTTTGATTTGTTTTATGTCCTATTTACATTATGTTGAATTGTTGGAGGAGTCTGTGACTTAAAGTGGACCTATCATGCTATATTTGAATAATATAGTGTAGGACCATACCTATATAAGGCATATGTATACTTTTTTTTTTTTCAAAATACCAAACAGATCATGCATTTTAGCCATGCCTCATTTCGCTCAATTTGAAAAATGTTAGCTCTGTTTTTGCAAGGGCAGATTCAGTGAGAACAGCACCATCTACAGGCCTGGCATATGTACTACAGCGTCTCCAGCGCTTTCGAACGGCAATGGCCGTGGCTGTCTCCTCCTGATTGGTGGAGTTGGCCCAATAGCCGTAGCGCCACCGTCCTGACGTCAGGACAGTGTTCAAATCTGGATCAGTTTTTATCAGATCCGTTGCAGCCCCTTTTTTAGAGATTTGGGTATGGAGGAAAATAGAGAGGGTTGTGTTTTCTGACACTTGGTGAGTTCCCTGGAACACCGGGGACACATATTCATGTATAAAAGACGTACAAAAGTGCATTTTGCATGATGGGTCCCCTTTAAGTTTTTCATAGCCACATCTACACTGTGTTTAGTGATATAGGAGTTACAAGACAAGTGCATACACGTACAGTATCACATATACACAGAAGACAATAAGGAGCATTTACAAGTAAAGACGAATAGAAAATGACAAAATATACATGGAGACAAAAAAGGAAAACAAAAACAGTGTGTGTGCTTTTGAGGGGTTAGACAAAAAGAGAGTAATAAATGACATAATTAAAATGATATGAGTAACAATATAATAGTCATGTATCCTGGGGGGAGGGGGCATGTTTTCTGTGACTGTTCACAGTTTCTCTTCCACTAACAAGTCCTTAAACCCTGCAGAGCCCAAACTGTATTCCCTTTAGTGTTTACTTCCTGTCTGTTTGCTTCTGTTGAATTATCTGTCGCCAATACTCTGTCTTTTAACCTCTTTCCTTCTCTCCCTTCATCCTCCTTAACCGCGGTGTGTAAATAACCTCTGAAATGTCCAAATTAACCAATCAGAATCGAGTATGCAGCTAAGTTGTGTAATAAATAAGTGTGTGTGTCTTTCAAGATTCAAATAGCTTTATTGGCACGTCTCTCTCTCACAGTGGTGTGTGGTCGATGAGTTGGGGAAGCTCCGCAGTCTGGTGATCTTCTCGTGTCGTGGGAACCGCCTGCTGAGCAGCGACGGAAACCCCAGGACAGCCAATCAGATGCTGATTGCCAAACTTGGAAAACTGGAGCTGCTCAACAGCTGCGAGGTGGTGTGTGTGTGTGTGTGTGTGTGTGTGTGTGTGTGTGTGTGTGTGTGTGTGTGTGTGTGTGTGTGTGTGTGTGTGTGTGTGTGTGTGTGTGTGTGTGTGTGTGTGTGTGTGTGTGTGTGTGTGTGTGTGTGTGTGTGTGTGTGTGTGTGTGTGTGTGTGTGTGTGTGTGTGTGTGTGTGTGTGTGTGTGTGTGTGTGTGTGTGTGTGTGTGTGTGTGTGTGTGTGTGTGTGTGCTGTGTGTGTGTGTGTGTGTGTGTGTGTGTGTGTGTGTGTGTGTGTGTGTGTGTGTGTGTGTGTGTGTGTGTGTGTGTGTGTGTGTGTGTGTGTGGTGTGTGTGTGTGTGTGTGTGTGTGTGGGGTGTGTGTGTGTGTGTGTGTGTGTGTGTGTGTGTGTGTGTGAGAATGCTGACCATGATCTTGGTGTTTTCTGTTTTTTCAAAAAAAAAATATTACTGCAGAATTTTATTCAATTCTATTTCTATGTAAATACTGCTATATTTTTTATTATTTTTAATATATTTTTTAATGTTATTATAGTTTTCTTAAAATAGTTCTCTATCTGTGTTTTTAATTGTTGTTTTACTTTTATGTATGCACCACGACACCAAGTCAAATTCCTCGTACGTGTCAACCTACCTGGTAACAAACCTGATTCTGACCGTGTTCCTGGTGTCCATCAGATCGTCCCTGACGACAGGAAGGGGGCGGAGTGCGACTACATGAAGATGTTTGGTCTGGAGTGGCTGGAGGCGGGCGGAGGCAGCGAGCCGAGCAGAGAGTTCATCATCCAGCACCCCCGATACCTGAGCCTCGTTCAGAGTGAGTCACACGAGCAAATGTTCGTAGAGGCCAAACTGGCTACTGATTTCAATATTTCTGGGGGTTTTTCAGAAGTTACAAGGTGAGACAATACCAAAACATTAAGGACAACACAACAAAACATAATAAAACCCATCAAACATACGAGGAAACGAAACATATTCTGTTATATTTACGCCCACAGTTATAACACTGGACCATTCCTCTTTCATGTAAAGTTCAATTACAAACTCACCCAGAGTTCCTCACAGCACGTGAGACAACCTCTCCAATGGAAAAACAGACATCAGTTTAACAAACCATTACAAAATATTAGGATTTTTGTATAATCCATTTCTGGATTATTGTGAGGCGTGTAGCAAATGGCAGTACCAAAACGTCCCTGTCAGTCAGTGACGCGTTTATCGTTTTTCCAACCCAGTTTAGATTTGACCACGCCCACTTCTGCATGACAAAAGCATCGACGCAGCGTCAGAAAGTATGAATTTCTTCTCACGAAAGTATGGATTTGACAGCTACAGTAGAGTGTGTTGTTCAAAGTAGATTGATGAAGTAATTGTTAATCTTTTAATATTAATTCACGATGGATTTAAGAATACTTCAGCATTGTTAATATGGCACGTTCTTTTTATACATCCATGACGCAGTCGCGCAGAGCTACGCTAATGAGGAAGTGGGCGTGATTGAATCTAAACTTTGTAAAACTAGACGCATCCGTGCCGTCATAGGGCGCAAAAAATCTTTCTCCCATTGACTTACATTGGGAAAGTGCTGTTTTCCTATCAGCTGTGCAACTCTTGTACTATAGTATATACAGTATTATACAATATAAATAATCACCCAAATCTGTTACACCTTCTAAGCCGGCCCGGCTAAAATAACTGGATGGCCTACCTGCCTGTCAGCCTTCCATCTGTGCACAAACTTATCTCGTGCCCTCATTGGTCATGTGCGCGTTCGTGTGTGTTGGAGGAGGGGCTCTGTAAGGAAGTGGCAGATTTTTTCCGGCTGTGTATTTTCAAATTCTTGCGCACTCGAGCTGGTTTCTCCAAAATTACCTACCCCACCTTTAACAGAGTTAAAAAAAGGCAAATATGTGGAAGGATTTTACAAAATTGAACCCAGACTGCAGATGCTATACATTTAAATAAAACTGAACTTTATGGAAGTGATCATAATTATTTATGTAGTTTTAACTCTTGATCCCAACATAAACACATTGGGAAATGAGTCATACTTCCCCCAAGGACAACAGGAAGATTGATTCAGCGGATACTTTTTTTTAAGGTAAATCCTAAAAGTGCTAAAAGTTGAGACTGCAACATGCCGGAGTGGATCGGAGGCGGGGCTTAAGGAGACTCAAGTGTGCCAAGACACCTGGGGCCTCATTTATAACGCCTTGCGTAGGATTGACGTAGGAAGGTTGCTTACGTAGTACAAAGCACAAAAATAGGTACATAAATTTTCCGCCATTTTCCGATTCACAAAACATTGCGTACCGGCGAGGGAAGTGCGTACGGCACTCCCTACGCCTGTTTCACTTTATAAATCACAATCGACTCGTAACGCCCATATTTGCCTATACATAGTCAAAGAAACGCCCATTCATTCATTCATTTTGACTGACTGCATGAAGAAGATCGCAGGAAATTACGATAGAACAGCTAAAAAAGACATCTCACACCGTGTCAGATTTTGGTTATTGTGGGGAGGTGGAGATAAATCATATTGTTTGGTGGATGCAGTTTGAACCAGAGTAGCAGCATGGAGGTCGGATCGTCACCAAAATAAATAAATAAGTGGTCCGAAAAAAGTTAATGACAAAAAAAAATACACATAACCTTCCTCAGGCGAGACCTCAGGCAGTGTGTTTGTACCGGGGACAGGAGACACCCCCTTGATGAGAAACTAAGAAATGATCGGGGAATCCCTCCGGAGTGGAGTCATGACGACTGGATCTGAATTATTTTTGTTGTATTTGGTGGTTTGTGTTCCAGCTGTCGATCAGCAACTATATATACATAATCCACCAGTTAAAGGAAATACAACTAATGGATTGTGTTATATTAGCTGTACAATTTACCACATATGGTGTTCTTAGTTTCCATACCTCCTGTGTTTTACGAGCGACTTATCAAGTCTTGGCAAACGGCATAAAACACGATTAAACGTGATAGTATATAAAACCATGCTCGTATCTACAACCTATAGAAATGCAAAACGGCGTCAGTTTAGACGTAATTCTGTCCTCCTGCTTACCGCATCAATTATGAGAAAACATTTCATAACATTAACACAACATATTCGAGGTATTTTTAAATAACATATCCGTATTTATTTATTTCTCCAAGTTATGTTTTTGTGTGCACTGAGGAGTCTCAAACAGGCGTTTGTTTAATCATTTTAAGATTGGCTTTAATCAATGTTTGAAAATGAATTCTTCATATTTGATAAATGAGGGTAACATTTTATTTATGGTATTATTTCCACATATTTCTCTCCATTCTTCCTTCTGCCAACGGTGTCGCAGTTTCTCGTCTCTCCCGTTTGTGTGCTTAGTGCGTACGCATGGGTTAGAGTTTGCGTGGAGGACAGCACATTTTCCCGTCAAGTTAGTATTTTATAAATCGCAAACATTGCGTAGAAACTGGCGTACGCCATTTTTTGAGCGTATATCCCTTTATAAATGAGGCCCCTGAACTGTTTTTAAAGTGTTTTTTCCTCCAGGACCCTCAGTGGCTTTTAGGAAATGAAATGCTGGGATTCCAATCAGCAGTTTTTGATCTTACCACCTCACTGCTATGGGATATTAGGTACTAACTTACTGTTTGGACGTGTCCTTTAAGCCATGATGTTGATGATAATGATGAAGATCCTCTTGTGTTTCAGAGTACGGCGCTCCAGACGAAGGCCTGCTGAAGAAGTGGGTGCCGTTAGCTCTGAAGAACCAGCTGTTAAGTAAGTCCTGCCTCTCTCTGCTCTCTGATTGGCTAATACCCTGCAGGCCATTGATAAACACACTTTAGTCCCAACCGAGGAAACCCACTAAAAGAAAGGTGATATTTTCTGACCACGGTCTTTTTTTTTTTACTCCGCACCAGAGATTACATTTGTGTTTCCTGATCACCCCGACCGGAAGCCGATTGAGAAGAAACTTCCAGGTAAAACAACTGAAAATAAGGTTAAAAAAACATATTACACTGAAATAAAAAATATTTTCCAGTTGAGTTAATTGTATGTTTTGCTCCGCAGGCTCCATGGAAGTTCAGAAGGTGAAGGGACTCCTGAACAGACTGCTGAAGGTCCCTCCTTCTGATCTGAAGCTCACCTACACCACCCTCAAGGTAAGAATCATTAAATAAAATAATATTAAAGTGATGTTTGGGTTAAGAGACATGCTGGGTTTCTAGTTCAGCAGCACCATGCAGAGACAAGTCTTATTACACGGCTACATACAACAACAAAACAACGAATTGACTCATGACTTTACCTTGGTTGCTGATTGGCTAGAGGGGACACATGTTGATGTAGAAGAGACATGAAGAAGAGGGGACACATGTTGATGTAAAGAGACATGAAGAAGAGGGGACACATGTTGATGTAGAAGAGACATGAAGAAGAGGGGACACATGTTGATGTAGAAGAGACATGAAGAAGAGGGGACACATGTTGATGTAGAAGAGACATGAAGAAGAGGGGACACATGTTGATGTAGAAGAGACATGAAGAAGAGGGGGGACACATGTTGATGTAGAAGAGACATGAAGAAGAGGGGACACATGTTGATGTAGAAGAGACATGAAGAAGAGGGGACACATGTTGATGTAGAAGAGACATGAAGAAGAGGGGACACATGTTGATGTAGAAGAGACATGAAGAAGAGGGGACACATGTTGATGTAGAAGAGACATGAACAAGTGGATTTTGCATGATAGGTCCCCTTTAAGTTAACTTCCTTTCTTTGTAGAAAATGGGGATTGAGTATGAGATCGACGGCGACCTGAAAACCCTGCATTATTACACGATAGAGGACGGAGACCAGGTGCAGGTCCGCTGGTCCTGACCCTGAAGAACCGCCCGGACTGAAACTGAACTTCAGCTGCTTCTGACGTCCAGCAGCAGCAGACCGTTTCCTCCTTGGAGAAACTCACACTTTCACTGAGAGCTGGATTCACTCCAAAACGACTCCCCAACTGGATCTGTTGGTTCAGAGAATTGAACCGCACACTGAATCAAAGCACTGCTCTGAAAAATGCATGGCAATGTATCTGCTTTGACTTCATTCAGAATCACCAAATAGTCAAAGTGAAATCAGACGCACTAACAAAATTAACCTGTTTCCTTCTCCTCTTGCGCTGTTTTTGTTTTCTCTTCTGGGGACAGATGAGCTGTTACGCTAAATATTAAAATAAATGTTAGAAGAGTATTCCAGTGTGTTTACTGATCGATGAAAAATAAAGTTATGGTTATCAACAATCAACCGTATTTCCTCTCAGACTAATATGACTGCACATAATACCTTGATCATCCTTAGCAATGGTCATGTTATCCTTAGCAACAGTGTATTAACAACCTCATTGACCAATCAGAATAGAGTATTCAATTGAGCCGTTATATTAACTGTAACTGAAGACACATTTTAAGTGGAGTATTTATTTGAATTGCATCTGAATGACACATCCTCTCATCAGCTATGGGTTTAATAAAGACAGGTTGTATGAAACAGAGCTCTCCACACTGACATTGTGTTTTAAACATGTTTTATTGAGGCTGTACAGGTTGTTAATGTTCCCTCTTTGGCTGATAGTCAGAACTGATGGGGGATCAGTTACCACAAAAAAAAAACCTGAGCTGAGTTTAGAAACGTTGCACCGACCTGCTCTTCACTTCACCTTCAACACAATGATGTTCCTGTCATGTAAACACTGACTTTTTAAACATCGACACCAGTTTAGACGTTTTTCCTGCTGCTGTAAAACATATTGAGTCACCTTCTTTTTCAAAGCACAACGGCTCATAATTCTCTAACGACCACATTTCTGGATTTTCTTTTACAATTTGTGTTTATATCAAACAAAACAGAAACTTTACAAATGAGGGACTTTTTATTTTATTTTTTTAGCAGCAGGTTAGAATAGTCCGTCTGGCGGGCAATATTACAATTAAATAACATAATCTAATTAAGATTTTGACAGTCTTTGACGGGTTGAAATCCAAATCCAAATGTATTTTCATGTTTGAAAAAGTAAGATTGCTGCCAAAATGAATATTTGAAAAATATCGCTGCTACAATAAGCTTCTCCAAATTGTCTTGGTTTTAGGATCATTTTAAATAATTGTTGACATAAGAAGCAGTTTGATTATGTTGCTTAACATTCCCTAATTTCAATATTTGCAGGTATATTTGAGGAGTCTTTCAAAACATGTATTTTTTGTAGTTTTGTCTACTTTTAGTTTAGATGAAAACACAGACTTCCATCAGTGACTAGCTCCTAATTCAGTTATCTCCAGTCTTGAATAAAAAGATGTTTACATGACAGAAACGTACCGCTTGTTCTCTCGATACTTCCCACACACCTTCACAGTAATCGTCTTCAGGTAGATCTCAGGCAACATTAAAACATCAGAGAATACCGTCTGCATATCAGGTCATTATTTACAAGTTCATATCAAAAATACACTGTGAGTCGTAGTACAAACAACACGATCAATCTTGTAAGTCATAAAAAGGTTTTTAGCCCTTTACTCAACTTTAACACCACCTCAGGGTCACAGTGGTGATTATAGTGGTCCACTTCCAAAATAATAATAACATACAAGTCAGCTCTGTAGGGGGAAACAAATCTAATGTATCATATAAGATTGCTAAAATATAGAATAATCCCATATTGGCTTCGTTTGGTTTATTTTACAAATGAGTCAAACATCTCTCTGCCAATAAAAACAACTTTTGCAATCCTTTAAAAAACAGAAAACGTCCTGTATGATTTTAGAGAAAGCATAGCAGTACATTAACTTGTAATTATCATTAGGAAACTAATAGAGCTTTTATGGAGACTTTTTTGGATATAAACTCTGGTGGACAATATAGTGTCGTCACATGGCCACTTTACCTTTTGTATAATAAAAATTGAAATTATGCAAAATATTTGACTATTTTGCAACATATTTTAGGCCGTTTTTGGTCGTTTCTTAGTACATATTTCATCAAGTCTTCACTTAATGTGCTACAATATATATACACTATATATATTTGTTTGGATTAACCTAAATATGATGCATCGGTTTTGTGATATTTCTGTAACTCTTGGAATAGTTTCAGTAAAATGTGTGACAACTCCAAGAAGGCCTTTGAGTTGATATGACTGCCTTTCACCTCTAGGGGGCGCTGCAGCCAAAAGATTGCCTGTATTCAGATTAGATACTGTAAAGACAGATAACACATGGCTGTCCTAAAGTAACTTCAGGGAAAGGTTTTTTCCTTTTCAGAAACCTTTTTAAGGCATTTTCTGAAACGTCTAACATTTCGAAAAGGCCCTTACGAACTTTTCCTCTCAATTATTTAATCATTACAGAAGATTGATTGAATTATATCTGATTGTTTACGCAGTTATAAGGAAAAACGGAGGAGTTTCACCTTTAAAATATTATAAAAAACAACGTATAGTTTATCGTTCGGTACCTTTTCAAATAATTATCATCACGAGGGTTTTTGGTTTACCTACGGTCTTTAAAAAAAATCCCTGTTTAAGATTTTGTGTCACTTTGCTCTCATTTTGAGGAGAAACTCTTCACCCAGGAGTCTAAATACAAACACATCTGAATTCAAAAGTGAATCATCTCACCTGAAGTGTGACATCATAAATACAGTAAAGTCTGAACAGCTTCCGACGGCCAGAAACACATACAAAAGATTGTGGAAAATGTTCAATTCAAGTAAGAAATGTAGGAAACACCAACGTCGAGTTAAGAGTGTTTTGTGTGTCCCAGCAGCAGCTCACAGGTTCCTCACAGGTTCCTCTCCTCACACTGACCCTCGGAGGCGTCCGGGCAGCGGCAGGTGAAGCCGCCGAGCCGCGGGAGGCACAGGTGAGAGCAGCCGCCATTGTTGGAGCAGTAGTTATAGGCTGAGAGAGGAGAGAGGAGAGAGGAGAGAGGGGAAGAGAGGGGAGAGGAGAGAGGGGAAGAGGAGAGAGGAGAGAGGAGAGAGGAGAGAGGAGAGAGGGGAGAGGGGAGGAGAGGAGAGGAGAGAGGGGAAGAGGAGGCATTAATACAGAGATGAAGCTTCAAATCTGGTTAAAACATCCGTCAGAAAGCTGCACAATGTACAGGGTGTCACATTAAATCTAAAAGTAATAGGGCACTATTATGCTTTTTTGGGTTTTCCCTTTCCTGTAGTGTGTTATATAGGTGCATGTAAATGGTCTGCAAAGGCTAAAATCCCTGTGTTCACCTCCATTAGACTTCTTTGTTTACTTCTGGAACATAATGACATCACTATGTGACACTCGCGCTTGAATTGGCTAGCGCTCCAACACATTGTACGTGATATGCTAAGAGGCGGGACATCTCTAAGCGGCCAGCCGGCCAGCCAGGGTTTGAGTTATGTGGGAGCCAATGGGAGCTCCCATAAGGTGGGGTCTGAGCTCCCACGGACGCAGTGAAATCATACATCTGTGGGGGTCGCTAATACATTACCGACAACCGTTATTTTAATCACAAATAATGCATGTGTCAATGTAATGAGTATTATTTACGTTAACGAGGTAAATAGGCTAAAAGAAAAACATGTTTTCCAAAAGAACTACACATCGTATTCTCTCATGAATGACATCAGCCTGCACTTCACCTCCAAGGTGTGCAATAAATTATTATTATTAGACCCCCATAAAACTCAGATTATAACTCGAACCCTGCGGCCAGCTAACCAATCAGAGCAGACTGGGCTCTGGTTTCAGAGGGTGAAAAGAGGTGCTGCAGCACAGGCAGTATGAGAAAAGTAAAGAGCTTTTTGGACATGAAAGCATGGAGACATGTCACAGTAGAGACACTACATACTGATATACACCTGAAAATTAGAATAATCCATTATGTCTCTTTAATATATAAAAGTAAAATGTCAAATCATCAATACCTTGTTTTGTTTGACCAACATCCTTAAACTAAATGAATTTACGGCGAACTAGGAACCATCAAATGCTTGGTATATCTTCTTGAAACATTACTTTGACTTATTCATCAAAACAAATTGCAGATTTCAGTACCTGAACTGAAAATGCAAACATTGACATATTGAAAACAACATGCCAGTGTTTAAATGTATGTTGAATGTGTAACTAGTGCTAACTGCGTGTTCAGATTCTTAGGGAAAGCATGACTCCATTATAGATACTTCTGGCATAGCTTATGATTTACAGTAGAGTGTCAGATTGCTCCAATGTTTCCAAAATGCACACAATGAAAGATGTAATTGTCGAACCAACGTATTATTATTTAGCTCCAGCTGTTGACAGCTTGCCTTTTACATCTGGTGTGAATCCAGGGAAACTCATGAGCTGGAGGTAAAACTCAGAGCAGAGTTTTGAGGTTTAAGTCCATTTTCTGTGCTGTAAGTTAAACAGCTGCGTCCAAACATCACCAAACATACCAAATGAAATAATAATGCCTCCCTTTCTGCAAAGAGCCAAAGAATTAACGCCCTTCAGCACTGCGGTCTACATTTAACGTCTTTATTTTGCTCATTTTCAGGTTCATATCAGTATGTAGTGTCTCTACTGGGACATGTCTCCATGCTTTAATGTTCAAAAAGCTCTTTATTTTTCTCATACTGCCTGTGCTGCAGCACCTCTTTTCACCCTCTGTCTGAAACCAGAGCCCAGTTTGCTCTGATTGGTTAGCTGGCCGGCTCTGTTGTGATTGGTCAACCCGCTTAGAGATGTCCCGCCCCTTAGCCTATCACGTACAATGTGTTGGAGCGCTAGCCAATAGAAGCGCGAGTGTTTCTTAGTGATGTCATTATGCTACAAAAGTAAACAAAGGAGTCTGACTGAGGCGTTTCAGGCCGGGGGAAACTCCCTTTTAGCCCCCTTTCCAGACCAATTACACACAGGGAGGCGTGTGATGCAGTGGGTTGTGCGTTGGTGTTGGGATCAGGGGGTCACAGGTTCAAACCCCACTGCAGTCAGCATGTCGTTGTGTCCCTGGGCAAGACACTTCACCCCAAATTGCATACTATTGAGTATGTAAGTCGCTTTGGATACAAGTGTAATGTAATGTAATTTACATGCACTAAAAACCTATATAACACACATCTGGAATGGTAAAACCCCCCCTAAAAGCAAAATAGGGCCCCTTTAACAGATAAGGCCGGTTGTGGTGCAGTCTGTAAAAACACAACAGAAAGAAAGTGATCCGAGAACATGCTGC